ATCAACCCAGAGTTCTCACACAAGGCCCAAATGACTAGGCTCCAATTATCCCACTTCAGACACCTGATGCGAAGACCCAGCTCTCTGGAGAAGGCTCTGATGCTGGGAAAGGCAGAAGGAAAGAGAAGAAGAGGAGGACCAAAGATGGATGGACTCAGTCACAGTGACAATGAGGGCACCATTGGAAGACCTGAAGGACCAGGTTAGAGACAGATCCTTCTGAAGAAGGCCTATCTATGGGATTTCTAAGAGTTAACATCGATTGGATGGCACATAGTTTTTTTTAAAAATCAATTTGCATCATCAGGCCCCTATGCGTTGCCTGTATCTCAAGCCGCCAAACAGATCAAGCAAGTGCTGCCCTCTGGTGGTGGACAGCAGCATCCTTTTCCTTCAAGATGGTACTGCAGCTCCTTAAATTTCCTGTGCTAAGTGAGAAGCCCTGGGTGCAAAGGGAATTAGAAGGTTCCTGGGTTTCTATCGAAGGATGCACTAAAGGGAATGTGAACTCTCTGTTCCCCATTTTCCCACAATACCTGCACAGTATTAACTATCACAAGAGGTCAGTTTCCCAAATTGAAATCCTCCCTTTTTAAAAATAAATAAATACTATATTAACATACAAAAAAACTACAATAACACCACCAACAAAAAAGTGCTTCTCCAGTGAAGAAATAAACCTCTAAAAATATTGTGTTTAAGATGAACCAACTGTGAGAAAAAAAGAGGGGGGGAAAGGCTAATTAACAAATGAGAAAGGTCCAGATAAATAGATAACGATATAAAATTAATCGAATGCTTCAACGTATTATTAAATCTAGACCATACAGAAACAAACTGCCGCATCTTTTCATTTTAGAACACAGAGACTTCTGACAAATAGATGACTCATATCCTGAATCCATTCATTGAAGTCAGGAGAAGTTTCTTTCCACTTATGTCAAATTATCTTTTTTGCCATGTCCTAGGCTCAACTGAGATGACAAATTTTGTGTTTTAGGATTATAGTTCCACATCACATTCAGTATCATTTTTCTTTCCAAAACTGTACTAACATATGTAATAATTTGAAATCAATTTGAGGCTACAGCTGAACAAGACCAAATCATATGAGTGAGAATCATATGCAGTCCAGAACTTTGCTTAGAAATCTTGCAATATGCCTAGAATTAAAACAATAACACCAACAAATGGTAAGCTGAATTGACTGAGGAGGACAGAAGGGCTGGCAGAGAATCAGCTGCACCAAATGACCTTCTCATAAATGGGTGCGTTGTGACTTGCCCACCCCTCCCAAATTGCTCTGCTGAAATGAGGTTTCCCTGCAAAATGCTTTATGTAGGATTATCTTTAAAAATGGGGTGAAACAGCAGCTGATTAGAGAAAGAACCACAGGTGTCCATGTGTGGAACAAGCGATGGCAGATGTATCATGATGGCATTGCACCAATGATGCGTCAGTTGCAGATTACACAATAGCGAGATTGGCAAAATAACGTCATGACGTGTGGGGTGCCATCTTGGCTTTTAATGGACACCTGCGCACGGTACTCTGTGAGGCTGGTAGATAACACTTGAATGGATCATGGTACACCTATCCCGTTGGTGCTCCTGGTACAAGGTTTGGATCTAAGACATCTTGAAGACCATCTTCGTCCAAACAACCCACTTGGGTTTCACAACCATCCCTGGTGAAGCCATTTATGTGCCTATGTGCCTGGTGGGCAAGGGAGGTTCTTCTCGGTTGTATCCCCTCCCCATCCGTGAAGTTGTACTGTAACTGGCATCTCCCACCCCTCTATTTTGATCTTTTACCATCTCCCTCTCTGTCCATCTGTCTATCTGCCTACTTATCTCTCTCAACTTATAACTGGGCTAAGACATGACAGAATGCGGATAATTTGACTTCCTAGGGGTTCCTAAGCTTTTGTTTTATTTTATTTTTGTCCTTTTAAAACTGTTGTAAGCCTTGTAATGGGCAGCTCCATCTCTGAAAGATGCCCCATGTCTCTCGTAGGGCTGAAAATGAGAATCTAGAGCAATGTTTCCCAAACTTGGCAACTTTAAGACGTGTGGACTTCAACTCCCAGAATTCCCCAGCCAGCATGCTGGCT